ACAACCGCACATCAACCTACACTTGCATTGTCCAATACATACTCGACCTTATCCCCAAAGATGCAGAGTTGAAAATTTAAAAAGTTTTGGGTTAGTTTAGCAGGCATATGGTAACAGAAATATCGTCATTGGAATTTCAAATTTGTTACAAAAGTATAAGGTTGAAAGTTTTTGTAAACCACGGTTAGAAAAATAGCTGGCTGTGTATGGGATAGTTTTTTTCTCTATTTTTGTATCTGTCATGGCTACCGTTGCGGTAAGGAAGTCTTAGTTCAGTCGTTTATCTATTTCTATTAATACATATACAAATATATATAAAAAATAATCTCTATTACGTTCTGTCACACGCAATAAAAAAAAGCAGTATGGGAGAGCCAAGCTTCGGCACGAATGAGTCGGCTCGACCGGAGTGATACCACGGCCTCACAGAATACCGGCGTGAAACAACCCACAGCGTTGTGTTTCGCCGTGAGGTTACCGGAGGCCCAAATCCTTCCTTTCCCCGATCCTTATACCCGCAAACCCCATCCCCAAAAGGCCGGTAACGCACTCGTAACTCTCCTTGCTTACCATCAGGTAATCCGTCTGTTCGTTTGCCGACTTATTCCATAAAAAAAGTAGTTTTTTAGAAGTTTGAAAATCATCCTATGACTTCTCGTACCCTGGTTAGGACGAGAGGTAGTGTCAGACTCTTACTGACTAAATACCAAGCCGGTCCTTCTCCTGCACCGGGCCAGGGCGGCGCTACGATTGACCCTGACTCTAAGACCCGATAAGAAACATCCACTAGATTAAAACCTCATTGCTGAATAAAAGCCATTCAGAGTGATTAATGACTAACTCCTTGGTCCCTCGAGGGGAATGCTTATTACAAGCGCTTAAGAGAACTTAGAAACGTGGGCTTTAGAAATAAAACTAGGTCCCTGAAAGTTTAGAAAAAAAGTGTAATAGTAGTAACTCCTTCAGTATTGCAAGTGTCCATAAGCGGCGCTGAATGCTTACCATCAGGTAATCTGTGTGCTCGTTTGCCGACCTATGTCTCTACGTAATTGATTACAGTTTTAAGATTACGTAAGTCTCGAATTTTTTTAAGTAACTTCAGTTATATTATGAAATTAGTTTTGAGTCTGTGACGTCTTCGCTAATATAAAATTAGACGCGATTACTAGGTTGTGACGTCACAAAACCCAGTTACACAGACAAACAGGTGTGTCATGTCTCAAACCCGTCATTCAAACAACGATATACAACTTAAATGTTTTAACACGGCGCGACTTCTATTTATCTTTCAAACTACGAAGTATGTCATTAATGGTGGTATTTATACATACTTATTTTGAGGGGGGAAAATTACCGAATGACTCTCGCCTTGGGAAGAGGGAGTGTCAGAGTCTTACTGACTAAAAACCACACGGTTCCTTTTCCTGCTCCAGGCCGAGGCCACGGTACCTTATTGCGGTTACACCCGTAACCCCGGTTGGTATTAATACGCATTCATAGTAAGACTCGTCTACGAACTTATTGCCAAAATTTTGCCATTCCATATTTTATTTTAAGTCAAAAATAATTTATTATTACAGGCACTTTTGAACGTCAAAATCTTATTCATTGCTAAGCTCTTAATTCGACAGTCCTTTCAGTGAAAAAGAAATTACCTAGTTCAACTTAATTCAATTCATTAATTTTACGTCACAATTAATACTGGAATAAAATATAATATCTCTTTGACGAAGAGAGCGCGGTGTGTGATAAGTTTTCGACATTTCGGAAAAAAAAGTATTGAACATGCGTAGATGGAAACTACGCTATTATAGACAAAATAATACTTTAGGATTGAGCTCCATAATGATATCTCGAAACTTACACATGCATCAGTTATTGACATCTGAATAATACAATAAAGGGCACCAGAAACCATTCATCTATAATCAAATGACTCATCACAGATTCCTTCAACTACCCGCATTGTCGCACAGACCTCGTCAGAGTTCAGTAACCTTTACAAATGCGTTCAATTAGTATAATATTATGTAGGTATCAAATATCTACATTCTGGATAGTCTAGCAAGTATATCATTCGTGTTTTTATTTCGAGCTCAATGCGTAAACAAATCATGGTTCTGGACATCGATGCACACATATGTGCATTTTTATTCCTTGCTTTTGTTTTTATTTTTCGAGGAAACTACAGCTTTCTATTTTGCCGTGTGAGTAAGGTTACCTGAGGTCCAATTCTTCCTTTCTATCCACCCCAGCCCCTAAAACTCCGAAACCATAATTGCCAAAAGGTCGGAAACGCACTCGTAACTCCTCTGGTAAAGCGGATGTCCATGGGCGACGCCTGTCTTTTGGGTCCCGATCATTAAAAAACCACCGTTCCTATTCGAGGTAGGAATGTATTATGACAATTCATCATTAGGTCACCATCAGATGATTTGTCTGATAAAAGGTGATCTCTGTTGCCCTTGCAATAGAAGCTACTAAAGTAAAATTCTAACAGGCATTATCACCAGTTGTTTGCCATCACAATAGAGTATTGGGCCTCCAGTTACCTCACTTACACGGCGAAACACAACACTGTGGTTGTTTTACCGTTTTCTGTGAGGTCGTGGAATCACTCTGGTTGAGACGGCCCATTCGTGCCAAAAACAAGGCTCTCCCATACTTGACCCAATTCATCTATGTATATTCAAATGTGTTTATTACATAGTGGCTACATCAAGACATTGAAAAGCATACCCTAATTTGTAGTGAATTTACAGTCGTTATTGAAACAATGAATTTATTTTTGCAAATAGGCCATAAGACGGCACTTTTACACGTCAAATTATATGTGAATGAATGACGTTATTATTTTGTCCAAACAACAAAAAAATATGCTTCATATATTTCTGAAAAATGTGAGAAGTGCTAAGCATTCCATTAACGTTGACGTTTCATCGTTAAGAAAGGAATTGTAGAAAATAACCACAGAATATATAAATTGACTAAATTGGAGACTCGGTTGCCATTCAAGAAAGAAAAAAAAAACCAGAGAATATTTGCAACAATATGCATGTTTAATGTCTTTATTTATTTCTGGCCTGTTCTTTTCCAAGAACAAACAATTTTTATTAGAATGCCAACCTACATAAAATTTTATAAATTTACTTTTTTAATATTTTGTGTCTTGGCCAAATTCGGTTGAACGTCAGTATAGCATTTATTTACAATTCTGCTTTGAATATAGATTGAATATACAGGGATAGATTTAATAAATAATGTATTGCTTATCTAAGCTTATATTATAAAGAGGTAAAATTTGTAAGTGTGTACGTTTGTAAGTTTGTATTTAGGGGGTAATCTTTGGAACCACTGGTCGGATTCTCAAAATTCTTTCACTTATTGATAGCTACAATATAAAACATCACGCTACAATCAAATGGAGCCGAACAGCAAGTGAAACCGGGCGGAAGTAGCTAGTTGACAATAAAATTGAAGTTTAGTACTATTTCTTTTCATGAGAAATATATGCGGGCAAAGTGCAATACGAGCTTAAACTAAAGCTTATGTTTATGTTATATATTGCCTTGTTTTTCTCAGTAGATAGTTAATATAACGCGAAGGTTTTATAAACAAATGAAAAAACTAGGTTACCTACACTAAATTATAAAAATAAATCTTAACACGTATAACTATGATGATTAATTCTGTTCTTACACATTGATTTAAGTGTTCCAAATTTAAAAAGATGTTTAGTTCGGATAATTCTGTTTATAAAGCCTGTTTTTTTTAACACAAATATTTTATCTGCTTTGGTATTGGTATGTAAGTAGAAAAAAAATGACATAAATGCTGTGATCATACAAAAATTGCACTGAAATCAGTTAATTAATTCAGGGCGCGCGCATAATCGTGGGAAAGCCAAGCACCGGCACGAATGGGTCGGCTCGACCGGACCAATCATCCGGTATCACAGAAAACCAGCGTGAAACAACCACGGCGTTCTGTTCCTTCCCCCATCCCGACCCACTCTTTAAATCTCACCTGAAACTCTAAACCACAAAGGCCGGCAACGCACTCATAACTCTTTTGGTGTTGAGGGTGTCCATGAGCGGCACCGATGGCTTACCATCAGGTAATACGTCTGCTTTTTTGCCGACCTATCACAAAAAAAGGAGCTAAAGTGCTATAGGCAAACAAATTAGTGCACCGGTAACCTCACAACGCTGTGGTTGTTTCACGCCGGTTTTCTGTGAGGCCGTGGTATAATTCCGATCGAGCCGACCCATTGGTGCCGAAGCGAGATTGTCCAACGTGGCAATTAATTTAAGGTTTCACATTCATTCAGTCGTTTAGTGCTAAATTTCTTTGGCAAACAGTTTCACTGTCAACTAATATTTATTCAGCTACTTCAACTAAAACGATTTCTCTTGGCATTAGCAAATACGACTTTGCATATTGTATTTACTAAAAAAGCTCCTATATTTGGTTTTTTATGTGATTGGACAACAAACTAGCCTTTGTAATGGCCTTTTGGTTATTAGGGTTTTGGGGATTTACGGATTGGGCCTTTGTAGCCTCACTGTCACGGCGAAAGACAACGCTGTGTTTCACGCCGGTTTTCTGTGCGGCGGTAGCATCACTCCGGTTGACCCGACCTATTTTATTCATTCCGCTAGGCATACGTATAGACATAACCTTAATTATAGGGAGAAGACTATAATGGTTCTCCAAAGTCTTTCTTTTAATATGGGGTCCCCTTTCCCATCGCCATACGCAGTAGCAAAAATAATATATTTTTGAAAAAATAAAAAACATTTGACGACCTCAGTAGTATTCGAATCAAGTATCCCTTGCTATAAATTTTTAACATAATATTTTTACTTTTTTCCCAAAAAGCAAAGAAAATAAAAATCACGCGCCAAAATGACTCAATACTTCACCGAATGACATGTCATATGTTTTCAGTTCGTCAACACAAGATGGCGTCTCAAAATAAAAAAAAACAAAACACTCACCTCCTCTATGGATGATGACATAAGGCCGGAACTGAAACAGAAAAGAAACATGTTAATACGTGCATTTGTGACGTAGATAATGTGGGCAGTGTCATCTGAGAAATTGGTTTTAAGATGGGTTCGTTCGGTGATTAATAGATATAGATATATTTATGCACAGTTCAGATCTTTGCTATCCATATCCATAATACAAAAAAAAAAATACATTTCCAATCATTGATTTTACGATAAACTTTATTTTAAATTAGGAATTTTCTAGCATAAAGATAAATAGATAATGCTCGCTTCTCTATAGATCCCACTCTTTTTCCTTCCTTGTTTTCAGTCTGAGACTGAAAAAAAAGAAACTGAGATAATTTTTTTTTTAAATTTTAACTTTTTACTTTTATTTTTTACAAAACTTTGCCTCACATTAGGACCTCCTCATGGGTCCAGGGTGCCCAGACCCGGAACAACAGAGTTCTCGAAACCGCGACAGTTGCCAAGCTATGGCACCAACCGTGCAGTCGTTTTTAATGTCTTAGTTACTTAGTCTCTAGTGTTATTTGAAATGTCACGTACCATTATGAAGAAGGCATCAACTTGGCAATGATTGCATGCCATAACTATAAATGGTTGTCATATGGAAGACAACCTACTTAACTACTTAGGTATTCATTATCTAAGTAGGTACCCAAAAGTGTTTAAAAATTCTCAAGTATAATGATTTAATCCTGTATTTACATATTTGACAATACAGTAGCAAGAGTAATCCACTATTCCTCGATGCGGGGATGTATACTGGGTTTTTAATTTTGAAAAAAAAAAACAGCATTTGGTTTACCCGGGTCAGCTACAGAAAAGCTGCATAAACAAAGCTTAAGTAGATTTTACAATCATCACCGGGTTGGTTTTTAGGCAGTAAAAGTCTGACAGTACCGTTCACCCCTCTCCGGGCGTTGGGTTTCCATGAGGAGTTTCCAACCCGATACAAAAAAAAAAGATTTATTGAGATTTAATTGGAAGAAATAAATACGACATCAACTATAAGACACCTTTTACTAATATTTAAAAACCACTTACACAAAAATTAAAACCTTACTCTAAATAACTTACCAACATAACAGCGAACATTTTTTATTATCCTTTGGTTTTTCTTTTGACATTTTGAACGCACACAAACACGATCACTACACTAGGCGGCCATACTTGTATTAAAAAAAAGAACTGTCAACTTTCACACTATAATAATTCACTATGGTCACATGCACTGAGTAAGTACCTAAACTGTCAAATTCGTTCAATTTATTGTCGACTTTAGTACGAAGTTACAAGGTTGATGATCTGTTGAATAGTTTAGTTATTTTAGGGTAGGTTTATGTGCTGTTGTCAGTCCGGTAAAATGTTAATTAGAACGTTAATTACAATTTAAAATAAATTAGATAGGTAGGTACTCGTTTATTTTGACATCCTGTTTTGGATATTTTTGGCGGGGAAAATTTGTCTGGTTATGTTATCTATGTTAATTGGTTTTTAACAGAATTTCTGAACGCGACGAAGTTCTAATTTCGAATGTTATATTTTAGTTAGAAAGGTTTCTTCATTTACAATTTATTTTTCTGTGAATTTTGATTAAAATTACTAAAATAATTATTAGGTGATTGTTTGATATTTCTACCAACAATGTTATTACAAAAACTTTATATTTATACACGTTGTCTTTTCAAAAAAAAGTTATGAAGAATATTTTCTTCCTTAACTAATGATTATTACTTAATTTTTATTAATTTCAGAATATAGGTCAACTAATCTGTAATAAAGCTCGGTACACACGGCCACATAACTAGAAAACTATGCATTTCAATGCATCTATTCTTGAATCAAAATATGTCAAGCAAGTAATGAGATGCACCGAACAGACAGACAGACTGGCGTCGTTGTATTGTAATGAGTAGCCTTATTGTCTTCTAGTAGGTTAAGCTGAGTAGGAATATTAATTAGTTTTCTATTTAATTGTGTAATAAATCAATTGAATCTACTTTTAAGTAGCATAAATTATTAGAAATTAAAAATTATAGGTATTATTAATAATAATCTATAAACAATGTGACATTGAATTTATTTTTATAACTAGGCCATAAAATAGAACGCGTCTAACGGCATTCCCTATCTGACTATTCTGAGAAAAAATGCCGAAACATACTCAGAATCCATACAATGTAAAAAATAATATGTGCGAAGATTTGACTCCGTTCTAAAACAACTGAGATCTGTGAAAAACCTAATTCTTCGACTTCATACTTCCGAAATTAATCCTTATAGCATTATATACTTTCAACTCTAAAAAACTTAAAATTTAAACAAAAACGGATCTAAAAATAAACTGTAAATTTATAAAGAAAACACCACTACGTGCCTATCAGACAAAAACAACAAAATGCCGTATCTGTTTTATTTTACACTTCTTTGAGCTATTTTTTAAAAACAAAACACTGCAAAAATTTTTTTAAGTATTTATTAGTCAAAATTCAACATGACCAAAATAGATTTTCGAATTAAGAACGCCAAATATTATAATTCATTTAGTAAATCACTAAGGGCTCATTTTTCAATGGTTAGATAAAAGTTATCTGTGGAATAATTATGATGTCGTCGCGTCAGAATGTTTGTATAAGACAGTGACAGCAACAATTTTATTCCTCAGATAACATTTATCTGGCTATTAAAAAGCAGCCCTTAATAAAATTATACTTTTTTTATGGTTGTTTCTGTACTATACTTAAAAGTTTACATAATTTAATAACTTTTATCGTCCACCTCTAAGCACAGGCCTTCCAAATGACCTCCAGATCTATCAAGTTACTGAAAGCGATGAATTCGCTTAAAAAAAACTAAATTAATTACACCACTGACATAAGAAAACTTAAAATAAACACTTTTGAATCACAGAACTAGAATACCGAATAACGATTTACGTTCAAAATGTAACGAAATCTGTTCTCAAAAATACGTGGAGTAGCTCTTTATAACACTAAATTATGAGTTTAGACAGCGAATGCGTGGAGCCGACAGCGAAAACATCTGTTGAACTCAATTGGCTGGAAGTTTATAATATGCGTTGACACAATGAGTTTATGTCATTTAGAGGATGTTCAATGTTGGAATTTTGTGTTATAGGTTTTATTGTGACATGTTGTGACATTTACACAATGTTAAACTGGTATATATATATATATATAGATCGATTCTTTAAATAGAAAAAGCATTGAAATTTTCAGAGACAGAGAGAGAGAGGGAGAGAGAGAGAATTAAGTTTCCATCAAATCCAAAAACGTATTGAGAAATACACACACAATAATTTGAAATTACACACTCTCGTCTATAAAATACGTGTGAGTACAAGTTTAATCAAAATCGGTTAAGTAGTTCCCATTATTTCGGACATGAAAGTTAAAAGTCGAGCTGCGTAAACGTTATTAAGAGTAAAAATCTAAACAGTGTCTACTCAAAATCAAATTAAGCGTTTGACGTTATAGACGTTCAAATGCATTTTATGGTAATAGATTTGACATTTCTATTTAAAAATACCTCTCCTACTCTTTGATCATTGGACTATTTTAGTAAAAACTTTTACATTATACAAATCCGACTTCGTCCGTTTTCGTTTTGTCGTGAATTAGTGATCTGTATGTTGTTATAATTTTAAACTGTACTTAAATTTAAAATTAAATTTAGAATTTATCGTAACATATTTCCCACGGCGAAACACAACGCTGTGGTTGTTACACGCCGGTTTTCTGGAAGGCCGTGGTATCACTCCAATTTTGTTTTTTTTTCAATACCCTCAATGAAATCTACTAGGAGACGTTTTAAAATCTGTTGCAAATGCAAATGAACTGACTCGGATTCCACGAAGAAAACAACACGAAGTTATTTTATTACTAAACCCACAAAACGAGGGCACTTCTTAAATCCCTTATTAATCCGTCAATCATTAATCCAATCCATCTTGAACAAGCGTGGTGATTAATACTCAAACCTTCTCCGTGTGATAAGAGGCCTTTGCTCAGCAGTGGGCTTATAGGCTGGTGATGATGATGATGATAAAGGAAACAAAAGTGTTTTCAAGTGTGGGAGAGCCAAGCTTCGGCACGAATGGGTCGGCTCGACCGGAGTGATACCACGGTCTCACAGAATACCGGCGTGAAACAACCCACAGCGTTGTGTTTCGCCGTGTAAGTGAGGTTACCGAAGGCCCAATCCCTCCGCTTCCCCTATCCCTTCCCAATCCTTATATCTGCAACCCCTATCCCCAAAAGGCCGGCAACGCACTCGTAACTCCTTTGGTGTTGCGGGTGTCCATGGGCGGCGCCGATTGCTTACCATCAGGTACTCCATACAAAAAACAAATAGTATCTTTTGGCTTCCGATAGTTTGAGCTTCTAACTCCCAGTAATGACTGTCATAGACAAATATGGATGACCATCAGGACTGACGGTTTAACGTGCTATTCCAAGACTCTAGTTATGAGGTCGATACTAAAATAAATGATCGTGTCAACTGATTTAAAACCTTCTGGAATGGAGAAAGGTGTGTAATTCGATTATAATATTGATTTTAATTAGGCCGTTTTTGGAGTTATAGCCGAGTTTTATGTGTGACGTGACATTTTTATTTACTTGGACTTATTTTATTAGTTATAAGGACTATTTTTGTACTGTCATAAAGTTGTAGATATTTATTATGTTGTTTATAATTGTTTAAGGTGAGTTTTTCCAGATATAACCCCGTTTGCCCTCTCTCAATACCGAAATTTCCTAAACTCTAATCCCCAAAAAGGTGGCAACACCGTCGTTACTCTTTTGGTACTCAATGGGCATCGCTTATTGCTTACCATCAGGTAATCCGTCTGCTTGTTGGTCTTCCAAACAAATATATTGTGCACATATATTGTGTGTTTTAACTGTAAATGACCAATCAAATAGTTCTACATTTACAAATGACCTGGCTGACCGATTCACTTGAGTGGCTAGCCAGAAAAATCAATACCAC